GAACATTGTATATAGATCCAGAACCTAGGAAAAGTGGCCTTGGAGAAAAGGGAGGAGAGCGCTCTAAATATGTTTTGTACATCTCCATTTATGTGTGTGCTCGGATGTGTATGTCTATGCTTACTTCCATGTCTATCTCCCATTAAACCCACTCTGAAGGTACAGTTGGTAACGTGTGCGGGGCACGTCAAAAAAACCAGCATTCATTGTCTGGTATACTTTTATCAGCGTATTATGTGTATATGAGTTTTTTTATTCCTTTGTTATGCTGGGCTAAAAAAACTGGCAATTGTGTCGTTTATTTTCATTTTTTTGAGATTCTCAAACTGTTACTTTCACTGTTAGTTTATGAGCTTGAACAATACAAAATTATAATTTGGAGATGTTGTTTCTGTGGTGATATAATTTATGAGATAAACAGTAACACTCCCACTTTAGGTTAAAGACATGAACTGTACTTTCTCAATAATATCCTGTTAATTTTTACATAGTGAAAGTATTATTGACAATGAGAAATAACATATTCCTTCTATAAGGATCAATCGAACATACAATTTGAATTGGTTTCTTTATATTAGCCTTTGTAATATTCATTTATATTGCAGTAGCTTCCATGCTAGTAATAATTGTTTTCGAATTTAAGCTGAAAAACTAATTTTCTTAATCTGCTTATCTTATTAAGATCTTGGCATTCTGACCTGATGACCTTGATATCACTATCTCCTTGCAGGATACTTACGAAACACTATTCTTTATTGTAGATTTCCATGCGGTAGGTACCTTCAAGCCATTAACCTTTCCCCCTGTTTGTCGGGTAGTTATAATTATAATTCTGGCATTATATCTGACTCGTTCTTTAGTCATATAATCTCTTAATCATATTTGACATCTCGAATATTTTTTTTTCTTTACAAGATTACTCTACCATATGAGGCGGTAGAGCTGTCTAAGGCAACAAGGAATACTGCAGCTATTTATCTGGCATGTGGTGTGGACGTATCCAAGGTACACACACAGATTTGAGATTTCTCTCTTCTTGTTGTGTGCTGGCATAAACTGTTAATTATGTCATTTTCTGGAAGGTACAACTCTAAGTTCCACCATTATCTGGAGGCTTCTGTATTCGTGCAGTCGCATGTTCGTGCCCATGTAGAGTTGATGTGGCTGCTTAGTTCTGTCACACCACTGGGTTGGCTGAACAAAATGATCCAGTTTAAAGAAAAATCACACAAGACGGTGTGTCACTGGTGTATGACATCCTTATTGCCATAAATTCTTTTTTCCTTCCCTTCCATGCTCATTTTTAGCAATTCCATGCTCTAATTTCTTGAAGTCTTCCATATTGATTCAGTTTGCTACTTGTGGATACAAATTGTTGCATTACTTATTAACATAATGACATTAAGGTGTATCAGTTCTTGCAATAGGAAACTAGGAGTCATCGACGTATTCAGATCATTTTCCCTCCAAAACCTTCAACCTTTTAGTATGTGGTACAAAGATTGCAGGAAGCTTGGTAGATGTGGAGATTATATACCAAAGATTCAAGAACCTACTTACCTTTCTAAAATCTGTTTTACTACAGGATGTATAGCCTAATGGTGCATAATGAGTGAATAGGGAATTGTACAGATTCAAATTCAACCTGCCAGAATCTTTATTTATTGCTCAAATGGGGGGAAGAATGGGCATTCTCAGACTGAATGTCACGTCCTGATACTATTGTGATCAGCTGCCTATTATATCTGAAGTTCCATAATGAAAAGTAATGACTGGAAGCTCCTCTAAAGACAAAATGCAATTTAGTTAAAAAAAAGTATTGCTAGTTTCAGGATTCATGATGTTGGGTTTATGAAAAGATTGGAGAAGTTGTCCTGTGCTAGCATCTACTCTCCTAGGGAGGATTTGTTTACTTCACAAGGTTACTTCACAAGGTTATTCCATGGGGTTAATTATAATAACTACTTTGACTTGCACTTCAGAACCTAGAGGGTGTTGATAATGCAAATATTTGACATCAAGTTGATTAATTTTGCATCCAACTGGATTTTTCAAGAATTAAGTTGACTTCCCACCCCCACCCCCCTTGTTCTAGGGTGAGGAGGTACCTTGTTTGATATCTCAAGAAGGCATTATTTTGAACTGAAGAATTTAATTTTTCTTTTATGTTTATCTTTGTTGTAGGGTGATGAAAATGTCGGAGTTGCACTACTAACTTATCCTGTTCTAATGGCTTCTGATATTCTTTTATATCAGGTAATTGAGCTTTGCTGTTCATGCTGACTTGACCTACATACTTGAATATAAATTAGAAGTGAAGGTGATTCTTAGGCCTTTCAAGTTTCAAATATTGGTTTTTTATGGTTGTTTTGGTTTCGATCTGATTTCTCTTTTGCATGGGTATGCAGTCTGACCTGGTGCCAGTGGGTGATGATCAGAAACAACACCTTGAACTGACCCGTGAACTGGCTGAGCGAGTTAATTATTTGTTTGGGGGAAGGAAGTGGAAGAAAATGGGAGGGTTGGGTTACTTTACTGTTAGATTTTCTTTTAAGAAGAATCTTAGAATTCAACAATTAATTTGTATCTTTATTGCACCATGATTGTAATGGTCATCATTCTTTTTGCAGGAAAGGCGGTACACTGTTTAAGGTGGAACTTTGTCCCCTGAACTTGTATCTCAAACTTTTGAGTTGAATCCTTTTTTGACTTCACTATTGCTGATTTTAACATGCAGGTGCCTGAAGCCCTTATTCCACCTACAGGGGCTCCGGTAATGTCTCTTACAGATGGGCTTTCAAAGGTATTTGGAGTTCTCCTTTCTTTAGACTCTCATGAACAATGAATGCGAGGAAAAATATCCTTATGTTTTCCTTTGCCACCATTTTCTCTCGTTATGACCATGCTGATATTATCATGTCCTACATTCTACTAACTAAATGTTATTATCTTAAGCTGCTTGATATTTCCCCCATTGATATTTGTAACGAGATAGGAAAGTTCCTTTCTTTCTTTTTATTGCATAATATTCTGAATGCTGTTCGTTACCTTGTGCCTACTGACATTCATCAGTGATTCCTCATAGATGTCGAATCCTCTCCATCGGACCTGTCTCACATCAATCTCCTTGATTCAAAAAATGTGAGTAGCAGACATTTTTCCTACTTCGAAACTATTATGTATCCATTAGCTCTCTGTTTATACTTTCATCAATCACCATGGGAAAACCTTTCAGTTTTAGTGAGCTGCTGCTATGATTTTGAATAGGCTTACAAAGTAACCTTGGTTAAGTTATTTGTTAGTGACTGCATCACGTCATTATGACAATAAAATTATGTTGTTTAATCAATATAAACAAAGAGATGTCACACAGTAATAAATAGATAAGTGCGTGCATATGTGGAAGTGCCTATGACTGCCCGGTAGTACGTGTTTTTGATTGTGCGTGCACGCATACGTGGCTAGTCTGCGTGTGCACGTATGCAGGTGTGTTTTTTGTCCATGGCTGTATGCTTGTGCATGTGCGTATGGTGTGGCTGTGTGTGCATGTGTGTGGTTTGCATGTGCACGGCAGGCAGAATTCAGATTTGCTTGCTGACCATTTAGTCTGACAATTAGAGCATGTATAAGTGCAGTCTTGCTTGTGCAGGATATGGAAAGAAGTCAAATTTTATTGCCGAACATTATGCTTTCCAATTTCTTCAGTTTTTCAGTGAATTTTCTGTGAATTCATTATTTGTATAAATTTAGTGTCCTTAGTTTTCTTGGATCGCATATATTGGCCTTTGGATTAATTGACTTCATATCATGGTTCTTTCCACCACATGAGCTGACAGATAATGTATGTGTCTGTATCCATGACAAAACCAAGATTCTGGGTTGATAATTCAAAGTTTTGAGAGGCGGAAAAATAAAACATGAGTTCCCATGATATTTAACCAAAAAAAAAACATTTTTTACTGAATAATATTTCGTAAGATGAATATGTGTGGAACCAATTTTCAATAATTAGCTATAGTGGTGATGATCCTGGAAATAGTTCATTAGTTTATTCTGAGGTTTCTCATTAGCAATATAAAAGGCAGCAACACATGAAGAGGAGAGATTATCAGTGGTTGTCCAAAATTAATATCTTTCATTTTCTCACCCCCCCCCCCCCCCAAAAAAAAAAAAAAAAAAAATAAGAACAGGCTGTGGAATGATGTGTAGGTTTATCAGGGAGGAAGAAAGGCTTATTATTGGAGAAAGGTCCCGTCTAAGGACATCCTCTATATAAGGGGAGTAGAGTGCTCAGAACACCCTGACACCCACTGACCATATGATAGACTTTATGGGATACAGGACGCTTCATTTTGTAGTGAAAATTACTTGTACAATGGAATCATAATAGTTTATCATATGGAGGCGACATTTAAAGCAGTACGATAAATCCATTTATATATCATAAGATTGAAGTTGGTTGCACGATGCTTTTTTCCCTTTTAGCCTATAAGGCCACTTTCTCTTCTAAAGTAACAACCACTATTATCTTTTCTGTTACTGATCCAAGTCCAAGTTCATTTTGGTTGCTTCCTAGTTATAGTTGCTCATTGCCTAATAGCTGACACTCCACAAGAATGATGCGCATGTAATGCAAGAGGAATATGTTACTATTAGCTTCTATTATGTAGAGATACTATATGAAATTATTAGTAACCGCACAAGGAAATAGCTTCGAATTTTGTTTGAGCTAGTTTCTTTTCCCTTGTTAATTGCAAAAAGTAATCATGCAATGAAGAGAATATTTATAAAAGTGTAAGACACAATTATAGGCTAATATTCCATTCCTAATCTCTTTGCATACTTTGTTTCACTATTTTAAAAAGCCTCTGTCTAGTCCGCCTAGGCGTATGCCCAAGGCTAGGTAGTACCTAGGCCGCCTAACTAGCATCTAATGTCTGAGCTGGTTGCCCACATAGATTTTAAAAGTACTTAGGGGAGCATTGTCTGCGTACGTTGACTATACCCTTTAGACCTTGATCGTAATTTTCTATGTTGCAGCCTTCACGTTCTCCAACCTCCTTCAAACTCCTTTAACCTCCAAATATGCACCCTTCTATTACTCCTCTGACCTTCAACAAAACCTCCTTGAGCACCACTTAAATGAAGAATTTAATTCGCATAGACACCAGTCTGACAACTAAGCTTTTTATAACATTAACATTTACTATTAATTATTGTAATTAAAAAAAACCTACTAGGCTCTAGGCGTCGGTTCCAACGCCTAGGCCTCCTAGCGCTTTCTATAACCTTTTTAGTCATTATTTTGGCTATTTAGCATTTAAGTATGCATGGTTTATTGTGGATCTAAGATTGCCATTTTTTTTGCAAATTTATATGAATTAATATATATTTTTATTAATTATTATAATTAAATAATTTAAAAAATAGCCAACTGCCTAGGCGTATGCCTAGACGTCTAGGCGCTAAGCGCTGGCTCAAACGCTTAGTCCGCCTAACGTCTTCTGTAACATTGTTTTGTTTTATGCTATCTTCTTGATTCTGTTCTCATCCAACAGTTTACCCTATTGAATGTTGTGTTTTTAGGTAATTGCAAACCAGATTAAGCGCTGCAAGACTGATTTGTTTCCTGGGTTTGTACACTGAAATTCTTTGTGTGTTTACTTGAACAGCGGGCATTTTTTCCTTCTTATTTGCTTTCCATGGTTCACAAGCATACATGTAGCTTTTTCTAGTGCCTGCATGATTCCATTTTTGTTGAAGTCCTATGTGTCTGTATCTTATGCCAACTAACTTTCTTATGCTGCTTAAAATAAGTCAAGTTGAACTAACAAGCTTATACATATTTCTAGTATCATCTTCCATTTAGAGACATATATGTAGCTCACAAAAGAGTAATGCTCTTATTGTGAACATTTCCCCTGAACAGTTCACTGGAGCCTCCCTAGAAAAAATAAAGGAAACACAGACACGTGAAATTGGGTATGGCGTGACAGCTCATTCTAAATAAGCTCCCAAAAGATGAACTAGTGGTGAGGCCCACCCTACTAGTCTCATTTGATATATGGGTCTCATGACCCTTCATCTCTTGGTA